CTTGGCGACCCCCTTGGATGTTCGTTCGCCGCTGCCTGGTCGTAATGCTTGCCATGGTATGATTGTGTTATATCCTTTGAAGAGGAGGTGTGGGTATGATCCTTTGTCGTAGCCGTGTTATGGAGCAGCTGGTCGTAATGTTTCGGGGCCGCATCGGGCTGCTTCTGAAGCTGTTCAGCACGCTGCCCGCTACCTCCGCCAACCCCACGGGGACGGGCACGCATAGGAAAACCACTGATCGTCTTCGCGTTTCGCCTGGCGGCGGCGGCAACATGAGTCGGGGCCGCCCTGCCGCACCTGCACAATGCGAGCCCAGCTCGTGTTGTGACCGCAGCCGCCACACGACCAAACATTGCCCATCGCTCAAAAATGTTCCCTCGGAAATTGGTTCCATGGCCCATCGCTCAAAACCCACACACTGAGAACCGTAAAGGCTCGCAACAGCACTTGCCGTTTGGAAAGACATGCTGCTGCACGTTCAGCGCGCACATGCCTGAGCCAGCACAGCTTGAGCCAAAATGGTTACGGGAGGAGGAGGGGAGGAAGAAGAGGAGGAAGGGGTAAGGGTGTAAAAGAGGAAGAGCTCTGCGTTGTTCAGGGGCGCGGGGGCTGGGAGGCAGAGGGCGGGAAATGATGGGAGAAGGGGTGAGGCGTATGGAAAAACATGAGGAGAAGAGTTGGAGGAGGAGGAGCGCGAGTAGCCGGGAAGGGCGGCCTAGCTGAATCGTGTGCCACCACACGGTGAAGGCCAAAACGATCGGAAAACCTCTTGCTCCACATCCTGCCCCTGATCCTGGCACCTCGGCCGACCCCCCTCTCCGTGCCAACTGCCCCCCTGTGCCCGCCTCCGTCCTCCCCTTCCTCCGTCCTCCCCTTCCTCCGTCCTCCCCTTCCTCCTCCTCCTCCTCCTCCTCCTCCTCCTCTTCTTCCTCCGCTTCCTCCTCCTCCTTCTCCTCCTCCTCCTCCTCCTCCTCCTCCCCTTAAGCATCTCGGTTCAGGTCCCCTAGGCACCCCTTTCGGCTCCCACCCTGCGTGGCATGCACGCGCTGGCTTGCTGGAAGAAGAATATCTGATTGGGCTTGAGTACTCCTTGCGCCTCCACGTGGTGCTGAGGGGGTGCCGCCTGAACCGTGGCTTGGTCCACAGCGTCTAGCGGTAGCTAAAGCAAGGAATTCGACTTCGTGGGATACGTTCTCTGCACTTACGCATCGTGGGCATCACCGTCACGCCTCGTGTAGTGTGGGTGCTCTGTACGCGGAAGGGATGAACAATGTGTAACCATGTATTTCGATGCTTGTGTATAGACCCGAATGTCGAACGTCACAGGACCTTGGACAAAGGCGAATCAAGTTGGAACACTTCAACACTGTGTTACAACGGTTCTCGTCGGGGCTGCTGGATGGGCCGCTTTTGGGCAGGTCGTTTTCGTTCGGGCTTTCTTCCTGTGCGTCTTCGGCGCGGTCCGTCTCGGGTGCGGGGTCCATGGGGGAGCCTGGTAGTGCACTGACCCACCCGCCTGCACCCGAGCGTCCTATCTCAAGGTTTTTGTGTTTTTCTCTCTCAATTTCTCATTATATTCCTGCAGTCCCTTTATTCGTTCTGCCGGGTATTATGGTGCAAGGCTTTCAATTCGTATGCACTCTCTCTCTCTCTATATATATATATATATGTATCAACGGCTGGGTGTTGGAGGTAAGAAACTACACATGTGGTTGTTGTCTTGACAGGCTGTCTGCGGAGGAGGCGATCTTGGTGACAGACGTGAGAGGTAGCCCCATAACCTGTGGTGCAAATCGCACCAGGGCGGAATCGAGCCGAGTTCATTTAAGTTTACGTTATCATTGCGTGGCGAGATATCCATCTGTGGTATGCACGACGGTGTCCGTCTTCCTTAGGCACTGTCAGGCGCCCTTCGCTGGGGTCCATCTTCTGGTTCGTCTACTTCGCGGGTGAGCTCAGGGGCGGCCTCAGGTGTAGAGTAGAGTCGATTTCAGATGACACCGTCATGAAGCTATTGCTATTCCTATTTCTCCTCCTCCTCCTCCTCCTCCTCCTCCTCCTCCTCCTCCTCCTCCCAAGCATCATCCACATCCTGGACCTCCGCCCTCCCCATCTGGCCCCTCCAGGACCAAGGGAGGAGGGGGCAGGAGAGGCGCCGGAGAAAAGGGGGAGGCTGGAGCGAGAGAACAACGGGAGGACGGGGCAGGAGGGGATGCACTACCGCGCCCCGTCCTGCCCCACCCCCTCTCATCCCCTTCCACCTCCACCCTTCCCCCCTGCCGCCGCTCCTCCTGTGCTGTGGGAAGGGGAAGGGGCTTGCGTCCCACGGCACGGCTTCTTTCATCGAGTCGCTGAGCGCCAGACCCCGCGACCCCTTCCCAGACCGCGCCTCTTCTGCCCCAGGTCGTCTTCTGACGGCCCTGGCGCACGGCACCGGCCCCGGGCGCCGAAAGTCACGAAACACCTCACGCGCGGCTGCTTCGAAGAATTGGAGACCTGGGTTCTCTTCCCTTCCTATGCTTCCAAGGTCTTCGAACGGTTGTCTGCCAACGAGGCGGTCCCCTCAGTGGAAATGAGCCGTTGTAGGGGCCTGTTCCAGCATCGTTTCAGGGAGCTCGGGGGGAGGGTTTGTTACAACCTCGTTGATGACTCTTGGGTTTGCACTGGTCCTCTTCCTTCTCCTCCTCCTCCTCCTCCTCCTCCTTTTTCTTCTTCTTCTTCTCCTTCTCATTCGCTTTGCGTTCCCTGGCATGCCACGCTCGATCCACAGCTGCTGACGGGCACAGGGCAGGCCTCGCTCCGGGCCTCGGCGTTCTCTGAACTCCAGCCTCGGTGCCAGCTGTAGTGCTGGACAGAGGGACCGTAACGCTTACTGTGGGGGCCGATCCACAAGAAACCTTCGACAAGAAACCCAGCCCTGAGGCCCCAGGACGTCCATGGATTTTTGGTGCGGGAGCGTCACGCCTTCCACGGCGGCAGAACCATCGAAACCCCAGAACCCCAGGGCACCCTGGAGGCAGGCAGGCTGTTCGTTGGAAGGGGCCCCGACGGTGCTGGGCGAGGGACGCAGCCCAATACAGCCTGAGCCGCCGCGGTCCCCCCGGACGGGGGCCTCCCGCTCTGGCCAGCGGTCCGAGCCGCCCCCCGCCGTGGCGACGAGGGGCCCACCCGAAGACAGGCAACAGAAAGCTAGGACAACAAGGGAAACGGGGAGGTCTGAGAGTGGGGGGCACTGGCCCAGTGGGCAAGATGGGCAGGGAGTCGGCGAGAGATCGGCGATGCATCGGCGAGAAGGGCCCAGTGGCGAAGTCGCACTCTTGTGCCATCCACGCGAAGCACAGCAGCAGAGGCGGAGAAAGGACGCCCAGGCCTTGATCGGCGCCCCCTCCTATCGCTATCGCTATCGCTATCGGCTCGATGTCCAGTCGGACGCAGCCGTCCTGGCGCCCCCTCCTCCTCCTCCTCCTTCTCCTCCTCCTGTTCCCTGTAGGTGACATTGTGCTCCCTGGCCTGGGCACGGCTCGTCCCAATGGCAACGTGTGTTTCCTGCCGACGCGCCAATCCCTCTAGCCCTCTGGGCTGAGGTGGTTTTGAGCGTTTCCTCTTCCATCCTCCACCATTCTTCCCTTCGGGGAAGGGTTTACCCCTACCCCCCTCCCCTGGGTCTGGACAGAAGGAATAACAACGAAACCATATCCGTATGTAGGTTTTGGATACATATTGGCATCCTGGTGGGGCCAGGCAAATTGTCGAACTTCTTGGGGGCTATTCGGCGCCGCCCCACGAGCCCCCCAGGGAGCCCGGGGACGGGGGCCACGAGGCCCCCAAGATGCCCCGGAAAGCTCCCAAGAGGCTCCCGAGAGGCCCCCATGAGGCCCCAGGGTGCCCTAAGAGGCCCCCTAAAGGCCAGCCACAAACACTCACGACGTTCCAAGAGGCCCTCCAAGAGGCCCCAAGAGGCGTCTGAGAGGATCTCAAGAGACACCCCAACCCGAGATCAGCAGCTACGCTCAACATCGTGTCTGATAGGCTGGTGGGGATACGCGGAGCTCTGGCAATAGGCGTCTAGCTTTTCGACTCGACTCGACTCGCTCCCACCCCTCATCCGAGAAGGAGGATGAGCAAGAAAGTCGACCATCTAAACTCAAGATGCATGAACGATGCTGCCATCCATCCTACCGTCCCAAGTGCCATCTCAATTAGTCTCAACTCTTCCCTGGGCGAAGCCGCCCACCATGAAATCCGAGCTTCCCGAGATCCACAAATCAATGGTGAACTCCGCTTTAAATAACCAGATCTCTATCCTTCAAGCTACGAAGAATACGACAAAACGGGATCAAACGCCTTAGATAAATTCCCAACAACAATTCCGCTTTGAACATACATCGCCGTCTACCCGTGTATTGTGCTGAACACGTTCAAACTTCTGGTCATACAGCCGAGAGAAATCTCGAGCGAGAGACTCAGTTTGAAAACGAATCGCCATCCATGCGTGCAGTTGCTGGCAACTGTGCGCTTCAAGACCGTAAGCGGTGGGGAAGTCTCAAGCGAGACGCCCACACTGCCCTGCAGGCACGTCGGATTATGCACTGCCCTGCAGGCACGTCGGATTATGCGATAGGGCCTTATTCTCAATGAAGATGGCGGGAGGGAGAAGGAAGGAGGAAGGGATGATGAGGAATAGGAGAAGAGGCGGGACGGGGAGGTACGAGAGGAGGGGCGAGGTAGGAGAGGAGAAGGGAAAGGTACGAGACGAAGGAGAGGCATCAGTAAGGAGGACGAGGGAGGAGGATGAGCAGAAGCAGCGAGGAAGAGGGGAGCGAGGAGGAGAGCGGAGGACCCCCCGCTCATCCTCACCCCCTCTCCTCGCTCCTCCTCCTCCTCGCCCTCCCTCCTCGCTCTCCCTCCTCGCTCCCCCTCCTCGCTCGCTCGCTCGCTCGCTCCTCGCCCTCCTCGCTCGGCCGACTCCTCGGCACCCCCTCCCCAGAGGCGCGCGCGTCCTGCGGGCGAGAGCGCTGGCCCGCCGATGCCGAACATCCTGGCAGCGGCGATCAACTCCTGGAGAACCGGGGAATCGGGGGGGAGCGGAGGGGGGGCCGAGACTGGCACCCCGATTGCCGGGGCGGGCGAAAAGGGAGGGATGGCCGCTGGCTGCCACAATGGACGCCCATGTCGGGTCCAGGCAGCAAGGCACCGAAACGCGCCGCCTTCGCCCCCGCATGTCAAGACTGATGGGGGAGCGGTGGTCTCCTCGCAAAAGTAAATGTTCATGTCGCGACACGTCGCAATCCCGTCTGGCGCGGTCGTCCGCCAGCTTTGAGATGCGGGGTGCAATAGGGGGGCGCGCGGTTTCCGGCTGGTGGGTGATTATTTCGCTATCGGCGGCGGTTTCACACGACCGAGATAAGCATATGTGGGCAATATTGTTGCGGCCTCTAGGAAAAAGTAAACACATGGACAAGACACATTGACAAACAGCCAGGGAACGCTGGCGAATGGGAAGCAAAAGCTGTCCAATGAACCAAATCGCGACCTGGCCCACTCGGCCTGGTCAGGAGGCGCGTGGTCCGTTCGGCCTGGTTGGGAAGCGCATGGAACAGGTCGCGACCTGGCCCCAAACCAGAGCCTGAACAGGTCCAAGCAGGCCTACCTCGAGCGGACCAGATCGCGATATAGTCCGAAACCAATCGTCGATAATCTTCATATGCGGGCGAAGCGGGGGTCTTAGCGAATCTGCTTAAGTGGCTGGCTTTACCGGCGCCTCTCTGGCGCCAGAGGCGTCAACTTATGGCGCCACAGACGCGGGGCCGAAACCAGCTGTACGCAGCAGATTCCGTAGCTCACTCATGCCCAATCTCCCCCTCTCATCCGATCCAACCTCGGCTTTCGGCACGAACAGAAAGGCAACAGATCGCGCTGATATTTCTTTGACAGGGGGCGGGGCAAATGCAACTGTTGGCAATATTGCCGCACTGTCGTTCTGAGCCAGAATGCATGTAGAGGGGTGATAAGGCGGTGCTACAACATCAGAAGCAGGCCAATGATGACGTCCAGGATGGGGACGTGGAGGGCGATGGCGAGGGAGGAGGTACGATGCTGGCAAAAATGACCACAACGAGGACGGCGAAAATGACGGGGAGGAATGGGAGGAGGAGACGGGTGGGAGGGGGGGACAGAGAGGGAACAAGGATGGAGGAGGTCGTGGGGGGAGGAGGAGATTTGAGGGGATGAGGGACGCAGAGACGCAGACGCGCGAGTCCGCCGGCCGGCGGGCCGGCAGGCCCCTTATGGGCGGCGCGGGCGGGCCGGAGCCCGGTCACAGGCATGTGAACTTCAAGAAGTCGCTCTCGAAGTCCGCTCAGAAGTTGGAAGTTGTAGCACTCTGTAACCATGTGCCGGGTGTGCTTCCAACCAAAGCCATCTGCAAAAATTCTGTGAGGAGAGGAGGGAAAACGAGGATACGACGACGGGGAGGATGAGAGCGGGAAAAAGGCGCGGAGGGTGGAGAGCAGCTCCTGTGGGCGGTCGGGTGGCCTCGACCCTCCCTCCGCCTCGCCCTTTCTCCCACCTCCCCGCCTCCTGCCGGAGCGGAGAGAGAACCAACCAAACAAAAGCTCAACAGAACCCTCGGGCTCCCTGCAATCCCCTCCTCCTCCTCCTCCTCCTCCTCCTCCTCCTCCTCCTCTTTTGTTATTCTCCTCCCCCTCCTCCTCCTCCTCCCCCTTCCCCTCCCTCTGGAACCACTCCTTCCCTCCCCCTCCTCTTCCCTCCGCGGGGCGGGGCAGGCGGCTCTGCCCGCGGGGCCAGGTCCCTGCGGATCGGTGCGTCGCCGCATGCCGCGCGGAAATGAGAAGCCGCATTCGGGCCTGCTCTCAGGAGGAGGAGGAGGAGGAGGGGGAGGAGGAGGAGGAGGAGGAGGAGGAGGAGGAGGAGGAGGAGGAGGAGGAGGAGGAGGAGGAGGAGGAGGAGGAGGAGGAGGAAGGAGGAAGAGGAGGGAGGAGGAAGGACGATGAGGAAAGGAGGAGGAGGAGGAGGAGGAGGTGGAGGAGGAGGAGGAGGAGGAGGAGGGGGGGGAATGAGGGGACGGCAGGGAAGAAGGAAGTGGAGGGGAGATAGAGGGGAATGGGAAGGGATATGGAGGCGGAGAGGTGCGGCGAGGCAGGCTGGGGGAGAGGAAGGGACAGAGGGCAGGTGAGAGCATGCACCGAAGACTTCGCTCAGAACTTCGGCAGGCTAGTATGCAGGCATGCCTTGCGACGAAAGAGCTTCGCCCAAGAATCGTGCGCCGCATTGGCCATAGGGTTCCAGTCCTCAAGCAAGTATATGGATCGACGCGCGACTCGTGCTCTGGAACACTCACAACAAATATATGGTCCTGATTCGGCAGCTTCTTCAGGGGATGACCAGAGACTACTTTGAAGACGTCGTTGGCGTAGTGCTGGCAGTTCGCCTGTGTCAGTCAGCCATAATCCATACCCGCCCCCACCGAGTGGTCACACTCTCTTCCTTCAACCATCCTTCGCTGTCCTTGCTTCGCTCGTTTCTCCCCCTCCCACTCGCCCTCCCTGCTTCCCCCCCTTCCCCGTTGTGCGTAGATCCTCCTAGCGCACCCGGCAGGAACAGAGGATTATCATCCCGATGCAGTAACGCAGACAGGGCCAACCAGACTTACGCAGGACGAAAGATTCTCCTCTTGAGGTGAAAATGCTGATGATGAGTTCGACAGATAACATCGGCGCCGCCGAACGGACATCGTCTGGACGAGCTGCGTGCAGCAACCAATTCCCCGTTTTGATTCAATAATGCAAATTCTAAACCCGGTAGAAATCGGATCCGCCATAAACCATAAGACCGGACGCGGATCCAGAAAGTCCGAAATCGGATCCGTGCGGACGGAAAACGGATCCACCGAAACATAAACCAAAACCACAATTGGATCCACGCGACCTTCATGGGATCCGACAGCGGTTATCTCATGCGCGTCTGCTGAAGACCTCGTTCCGGGTCCAAGAACTTTCGTCCTGGGGATATAAGAATGCAGGAGAAAGATGCGAGCCTCTTGGGCACCTACGTTAATGGTAGCATTAAGGCCGGGATAATGGGTTAATTAAGGCCGCATAAACAAGGATACAGTGCGTCCCTGCCAATAACCTATCCTTCTCGGGGAACCCAAGTTTAGCAATACGCCGCCGTTTCCCATGGCACGTTGAGGCGCGCGAGAATGCCAGGGGCTGTCCGTCAGGGTTTCTGTAAGTCTGCTAAGAGCCCCAACCTGCCCCCGACACGCTTGATTGCTTGCCCCCCTCCCCTCCTAGGGGCTCCCTGGAGGGCCTCACCATTCCTCGGGGCTCTCCGGATCTCCCGAAGGCTTCCACGTCGACCCAGGAAGGCCACCAGGGCCGCCAGTATGGCCACAAGGTCGCACCCAAGATTCCCGAAGGAGCGCTCCATACATCCCAGGAGGCCTCCAACAGACCCCAGGGCTTCCCAATCAATGCATACGGCCTTCAGGAGGCCCTCGAGAAACCAACCATACTGATGTTCGGCGTGTCGCATCGATCCTTGTCGCTGTCCACGCTCGGCCTACCTGCGGCCCTTCGGGGCCCATAAGAGCGCCCCAGGGACCCCCAGTCGGCCCAGAATGCCACAAGAGAGCCCCAAGCTGGCCCAGGAGGGCCTCAGAGGGTCCCAAGACGGCCCACGGGAGAGACCCTACAAGGCACAAGGGAACCTCTAAGACTTCCCGAAGAGACCCTCCTATACGGACAAGAAAACATCAAGACGCCTGAAGAAGGCCCCGAGGCTGCTCAAGACAGCCCAAGAGGGACCCAAGCGACCCACAATATTGCCCCACAGCAGCCCAAGACAATCACAAGACAGACATTTCTTTAGAGGAGAAGATCGGACACCCCAACGACAACAGACTGCGCAAGCGAGCGCATCACAAGTAGTGTGCGACGGGCGGGCTGGCAGGAGCGCAGATGCTGACAGGTATGACATAGTGACCGACTAAACTCACAACCTTGGAGGCGCGTGCGCTGCTTGCCGGAGAACACGGAGAACACGTATCGTACTGGCATGGGGGGAGGAGGATGAGGAGGACGAGGAGGAGGAGGACGAGGAGGACGAGGAGGACGAAGAGGAGGAGGAGGAACCCCCAAGACGGGCAACATATGTGCTAGTCCACTGTGAGAACTCCTCACGGAGCCGAGACGCGAGGCGCCACGCGCGACGGCCTTCCGGGCGGTGCCTGCAGAGGTCGCCACGCTGAAGGCTTCGCTGGCACGGCGGCGGGCCTTGCCGCAGGCACTCGAACAGTGAACCAGGAGCACGCTCGCGGGAGCAAGCTCGGTCTGAGAAGCAGCAGCAGGCGCGGCAGGATCAGGGCTGGGATCCCTCTGGCGGAGCTGCTCCACTGCATCGGAGTCGTGGGGGCAGGGCAGCACAAAGGCCGGAGAGAGGAGAAGACGGAGGAGGAAGAGGATAATAACCACGTCCCCGTGCTAATCCGCCGGCCCCCTTGTGGGGCCACCAGGCTGTAGGCCGAAGGTTCGCAGTTTCCTGTGCCAGTTGCAGCTTCCAGTTTCCACTGTTACAATTCTGCTTCTTGCTGCTTACTGTTCCTTATTGATGGACCGCGCGAGAAAAGGGGAAGCCCAAACGGGTAGGTTCAGCACGCCCTGAGCGTGTTGTCCGAAATGCTGGGGTGGGTAAAAATTAACACCCCTCACGCAGATCGGCGGGGTTGGATTTGCCGCATTTCTGAAATTTGCTGACACCCCTCACGCAGATCGGCGGGGTCAGGGTCCAAAAACACACAGGATTTGCCACATTTCTGACATTCGATGACACCCCTCACGCAGATCGGCGGGGGCAGGGTCCGACAACCCAGGGGATTCTCAATATTTCTGAAATTCCGTGGCACCCCTCACGCGGATCGACAGGGTAAGGGTCTAAGAACACATAGGATTTGCCACATTTCTGAAATTCGGCGGCACCCCTCACGCAGATCCGTAGGGTCAGGGTCCAAAAACATAAGGGATTTGCCACATTCCTGAAATTCGGTGGCACCCCTCACGCAGATCCGTAGGGTCAGGGTCGAAAAACAAACAGGTCCCGACACTGCTTCACGGCGGCGCCCAGACCTCATGATTTAGCTTTTGCATCTCCCAGTATCCGAGACAGGGGGCCGGCGGCATGGGGCGCAGCCCTTACGGATAATGAATCTCCCCTCCCCCCAGGACCCGTGCTGATCCAACGCCTCAAGACAGGCCCTCTTTGGAGGCTTCGTCAGATCACCTTGGACGTCATTCAACACCGACCCAGACATCCCAGCATCGATATCCCCGGGAACATGTTATCACCCTCGCAGGACCCCGAACTTTGTGATCCCCATGGGATTCTTCTCTCGGGTGCGGGGTTCTGGGGGAGGATGCCGATGGGGGGCAAAGAGGAGAATCCCCAGTAGCTGCACGGCCATGAACTTCTGGAGGCCTGCGCGGATCTCCTTGGCCGGCACTGGGCCCTCCCCCCCGCACTCCTGGCGGCGCCTCCGGCGCCGCACCCGATGCACACCGAGGGGACCCCAGGACGCGAACATGACTGATGTTACGTCGGCCTTTGGGAGGGACTTGGGCGGTCTCGCTTTATCGACCACAAGACGCAAACATGACTGATGTTACGTCGGCTTTTGGGAAGAAATTGGGCGGTCTCGCTGCGTATCGACCACAAGACGCAAACATGACTGATGTTACGTTGGCCTTTGGGAAAGATTTGGGCGGTCTCGCTTTACCGGCCACAAGACGCAAACATTACCGATTTTACTTTGGCCTTTGGGAGAAATTGAGGCGGTCTCGCTCTATCGGCCACAAGACGCAAACATTAGTGATTGTCCGCTGGTTTTTGTCAGGGATTTGGGCGGTCTCGCTTTCTCGGGCTTCCAACGCTCCAAGACGGGCCAGGAGTCCCCCAAGACGGCCCAAGGCCCCCCCAGAAGGCCACGAGACGGCCCAAGGTGGCGCCCTGTGCAAGTTTCCAGAGGTCGCCGCGGAAGCCTCCAGAGGCTTCCGCGGAGGCCCCCCAAAACACTCGAACGTACTCGAACATCGATACACGACCTCAAAACCTCCTCCAAACGTCCTCGAGCCTCGAGCCTCGAGGCTCGATCCTGGAGGCTCAACACGGCCTCGAGCCTCGAGCCTCGATCCTGGAGCCCGGAGGATCGATCCCCGATCGCGCCAGCCTTCAGCAGGTCGTAGTCGCTGAGAGACTCCGCCCTCCGGGGGGCAGCCGAAGGGGATGTGATGGCGCAAGGGCTCCTCCTCCTCCTCCGCCTCCTCCTTCCCCCCCTCCTCCTCCTCCTCCTCCTCCTCCTCCTCCTCCTCCTCCCTCCTCCTTACCTTCTCTCCTCCCTCCTGTCCTCCTCCTCCCCCCTCTGTCTCCTCCTCCTCCTCCTCCTCTTCTCTCCTCCTCCTCCTCTCCTCCTCTCTCTTCCTCCTCCTCCTCCTCCTCCTCCTCCTCCTCCTCCTCCTCCTCCTCGCCTCCTCAGGGCGCCAAGATAACGCTTCTGGTTGCTGGATGCATTATCGTTTCACCAGAAGGGGGGAGCCCTTAATCGCTTCATGGGGTTCGGGATTCCGCAGAGGACGTACGCGCCCAACAACGTACACGAACATGGCCCCCAGATCCGCGAGACAGGCCGCATGATACGAACGTTCACGCACAGCGGACTCTTGAAACCAACGTGGATTCATGTGCGGGTGCGTCCCTCTTCTGCTCCTGATCGAAGAGCTACGAGATGCATCAACCTAATTTTTCGGACGCGCGCGCCAAGGACGGCGCTGGGTGCGCCGCCGTGGACCCCCAGCGCCGATCCGATACATCCGCGCCGCCCTGCTTCTCGCCTCCTGGCGCAGACTCAGTTCTCCAACGATGGAAATTTCACGGTTCCAGTCGGGACCTTCTGGGCCGCACATGGAACAGATAATGCCGTCGGATGTCGTGGAGGCGGCCGTGCGTGAAGGGGCCCAGGGACACACAAATGAATAGACATAAATAAGAGGATTCCCTATATTTTCCAAGATGTTCTGGGTTTTTGTCTTCCCCCCAACTTCCCATGTCTTCGCATATTTTCTCGGGAATCGCCGATGAATTGTGTCTGTGTGTGTTTTTCCCCTCCCGAGTGCTTCCACGAGAAGTGCCCGACGGCGGAGCGAAGCCAGCTGGCCGCAGCAGATGTCGGCCCTCTCCCACCAGGGGGCTTCCCCCCAAAAAAGGCCGGAGGACGCGGCGCGGTCCTCCGACCCCATCTGCTGTGGCCCGAGTTGTCGGGTCCTGACGAGGGGGAGGCGGCGCCTCCGCGCCCGAGGCACGTGCGCGGACAGGGGGGGGGGGCCGGGGACGTGCTGGGAGGAGACGGAGGGGTCGCGAACAGCTGGGGCACATCGTGCCCCAAGCCTTGATCCTCCCGCCCCCGTCCAGCTCTCATCCCCCTCTTGGACGCCCCCGACCTCGGGAGGCCTGGGCACGGCCCAAACCAAGGTAGAATGGCAATCTCGAAGCAACTGCGGCCGAGGTCGACACCGATTTCGCGTCGGAGTGCAGGAGTGACGAACGGATCGATGAAACATGCAAGAACAGCGGCCAGAGAGCCAAGAGGAAATGGGAGAGATATCAATCATGCTACGCTTAGGTCGGGCATGTCCCCCTACAGGCGGATTTGAGGCGAAAAAGCAAATACCTCCCAAATGCCGCAAACATGCTCCAAACTGGTCAAAGAATCGTCCCCTGACTATTTCTTGATGATTTGGGATATTCCCCCTGTAGAGGGACAGGCCCGACTTAATGCTACGCATGTCTCTCACAGCTTGCACTCTCTGTCCTGAGCGGGCGAAGAACAGCAAACATGATGGACCCACGAACCCGGAAAGGGATATAGACATGTGGAGCATGGACACGTTTTCATGATACCCAACTGGGCAACACCTCACGAAACATCCCACGAGACACCTCACGAAACAGCCCACGAGACACCTCACGAAACATTCCACGAGACACCTCACGAAACATTTCACGAGACACCCCGCGAAACATTCCACGAGACACCCCACGAAACATTCCACGACGACAGGCAACCACTCAACCAAGGCGGTGTGGTCGTGCTGGGGAGTGGTCGTGCTGGGGTGTGGTCGTGCTGGGGGGTGGTCGTGCTGGGGGGTGGTCGTGCTGGGGGGGTGGTCGTGCTGGGGGGTCGTGCTGGGGCGTGGTCGTGCTGGGGCGTGGTCGTGCTGGGGCGTGGTCGTGCTGGGGCGTGGTCGTGCTGGGGCGTGGTCGTGCTGGGGTGTGGTCGTGCTGTGGTAAGGTCGTGCTGGGGTGCGGTCGTGCTGGGGTGTGGTCTTGCTGGGGTGGGGTCGTGCTGGGGTGTGATCGTGCTGGGGTGGGGTCGTGCTGGGGTGTGGTCGTGCTGGGGTGTGGTCGTGCTAGGGTGGGGTCGTGCTGGGGTGGTCGTGCTGGGGTGTGGTCGTGCTGGGGTGTGGTGCTGGGGTGGTCGTGCGTGCTGGGGTGACTGGGTGCTCCGCACCCTGTGATTTATCGATCGGGTCGTGCTGGGGTGTGGTCGTGCTGGGGTGTGGTCGTGCTGGGGTGTGGTCGTGCGTGCTGGGGTGTGGTCGTGCTGGGGAGTGGTCGTGCTGGGGTGGTCGTGCTGGGGGGTGCGTGGGGGGGTGTCGTGCTGGGGGGTGGTCGTGCTGGGGGTGGTCGTGCTGGGGCGTGGTCGTGCTGGGGCGTGGTCGTGCTGGGGCGTGGTCGTGCTGTGGTCGAGGTCGTGCTGGGGTGTGGTCGTGCTGGGGTGTGGTCTTGCTGGGGTAGGGTCGTGCTGGGGTCGGGTCGTGCTGGGGTGTGGTCGTGCTGGGGTATGGTCGTGCTGGGGTGGGGTCGTGCTGGGGTGGGGTCGTGCTGGGGTCTGGTCGTGCTGGGGTGTGGTCGTGCTGGGGTATGGTCGTGCTAGGGTGGGGTCGTGCATTTCGCTCGAGACATCCTGCCAAAATTCCAGGAAATCGTACAAAAACAAACGAATTAGTCGAGACATCATCGAAATTCCTTCGCGCGGGGCGCTTTTCCGCGTCGCGGTCGGCTCTGCAAAACAAGCGTTTCGCTCGAGACATCCTCGGCAAACTCTGCGGAGCAAGCGTTTCGCTCGAGACATCCTCAACACACGAAAAAGTGGCCCGCACCCTGTGATTTATCGATCGGGATTTCAAAAACAAGCGTTTCGCTCGAGACATCCTCAAATTTTAATTCGCCGGCCTCCTTCGACCTCGTTATTTATCAGGGAAAAAATTCGCCGGCCTCCCTCAAGTTGGCACCGGGGGACAGGTTTACCTACTAAAAGAGAACCCTGGGCCGATGCCCTTTCCGGGAAAATTAACCCTTCCGCCGTCGGGGACGGCTGCCCCGCGGGCGGCTGGAAAACTTATACCCCCGACGTGGCACCGTAGGGGTATAAACTTCCCGGCCGTCCTGGGGGCGGGCGTCCCCGACGGCGGCCAAGTCTGTTTGATTCCGCTCTTCGCCCTCCAACCCTGAGGGGCAACGATAAGGGGAAACAGGCAGAGGAGGAAAGCATCGACCTCGAATGGGCGATGCCTCGCCGATACATCGGCGACGGGCCCCCGATAGTGCATGCGCACGCTCCTGGGCGGAGGCTGGGGCCATCGGGCCCCGATGGGCGATCCATGGGCGATGGGGGGCCGACACGTCCCCCCCGTTATGGCCTATCCTTAAGTCGGGCCTGCCCCCCTGCAGGTGGATTTTCGACGAACATGATGGACCCACGAACCCGGAAAGGGATATAGACATGTGGAGCATGGACACGTTTTCATGATACCCAACTGGGCAACACCTCACGAAACATCCCACGAGACACCTCACGAAACAGCCCACGAGACACCTCACGAAACATTCCACGAGACACCTCACGAAACATTTCACGAGACACCCCGCGAAACATTCCACGAGACACCCCACGAAACATTCCACGACGACAGGCAACCACTCAACCAAGGCGGTGTGGTCGTGCTGGGGAGTGGTCGTGCTGGTCGTGCTGGGGGGTGGTCGTGCTGGGGGGGTGGTCGTGCTGGGGGGTGGTCGTGCTGGGGGTGGTCGTGCTGGGGTGGTCGTGCTGGGGTGTGGTCGTGCTGGGGTGTGGTCGTGCTGGGGTGTGGTCGTGCTGGGGTGTGGTCGTGCTGGGGTGTGGTCGTGCTGCTGGGGTCGTGCTGGGGTCGTGCTGGGGTGGTGTGCTGGGGGGGTGGTCGTGCTGGGGTGGGGTCGTGCTGGGGCGTGGTGGTGCTGGGGCGTGGTCGTGCTGGGGCGTGGTCGTGCTGGGGTGTGGTCGTGCTGTGGTGAGGTCGTGCTGGGGTGTGGTCGTGCTGGGGTGTGGTCTTGCTGCGGTGGGGTCCTGCTGGGATGTGGTCGTGCTGGGGTGTGGTCCTGCTGGGGTGTGGTCGTGCTGGGGTGGGGTCGTGCTTGGGTGGGGTCGGGCTGGGGTGTGGTCGTTCTGGGGTGTGGTCGTGCTGGGGTGTGGTCGGGCTGGGGTGGGGTCGTGCTGGGTCGGGGTCGTGCTGGGGTGTGGTCGTGCTGAAGTGTGGTCGTGTTGGGGTGTGGTCGTGCTGGGGCGTGGTCGTGCTGGGGTGGGGTCGTGCTGGAGTGGGGTCGTGCTGGGGTGTGGTCGTGCTGGGGTGGTCCGCACCCTGTGACTTATCGATCGGGTCGTGCTGGGGTGTGGTCGTGCTGGTGCTGGGGTGTGGTCGTGCTGGGGTGTGGTCGTGCTGGGGTATGGTCGTGCTGAGGTGTGTTCGTGCTGGGGTGTGGTCGTGCTGGGGCGTGGTCGTGCTGGGCGTGGTCGTGCTGATGTGTGGTCATGCTGTGGTGAGGTCGTGCTGGGGTGTGGTCGTGCTGGGGTGTGGTCTTGCTGGGGTGGGGCCGTGCTGGGGTGGGGTCGTGCTGGGGTGGGGTCCTGCTGGGGTGTGGTCGTGCTGGGGTGTGGTCGTGCTGGGGTGGGGTCGTGCTGGGTGGGGTCGTGCTGGGGTGTGGTCGTCGTGCGTGGGGGTGTGGTCGTGCTGGGGAGTGGTCGTGCTGGGGTGTGGTCGTGCTGGGGGGTGGTCGTGCTGGGGGGTGGTCGTGCTGGGGGGGTGGTCGTGCTGGGAGGTGGTCCTCAGAATTCAGGTCCCCAGGAGAGGACAATCTATAACACAAAACAAACGTTTCGCTCGAGACATCCTCGACAAATTCTGAAAAACAAGCGTTTCGCTCGAGACATCCTCAAATTTTAATTCGCGGGCGCTCAAAAACAAGCGTTTCGCTCGAGACATCCTCAAATTTTAATTCGCGGGCTCGTTATTTATCACGGAAAAATTCGCCGGCCTCCTTCGACCTCGTTATTTATCAGGGAAAAAATTCGCCGGCCTCCTTCAAGCAGGCACCGGGGGACTTGTTTACATACTAAAAGAGAACCCTGGGCCTTTGCCCTTTCCGGGAAAAAATACAACTACCCCAGAAATGCTCCAAAAAGGTCAACCAATGCTCCAAAAATAGCCCCCAGACTATTTTTGGACTATTTTTTGACTATTTTGGAGTATTGTTCATTTTTCGTCGAAAATCCCCCTATAGGGGGACAGGCCCGACATAAGCTCATCCCTCCCTTCTCGCTGCCTCTGAAATGCCCAGCCGTTTCCGTCCGGCCCGATCCTTGCCAGCGCACCCACCGCTGCCACCGGCGGGCCGCCCTGGGGCGCGCGGCCGGGGGAGGCAAGGGCTCGGGGGGCTCCGCGGTGCGTGCGGCCGTCGCGGCGGGGGCGCGGCCGCCAGCGGCCCGGAGGGGCCTCCCTCCCTGGTTGAGCGCTCTCCTCCGCTCGCAGAGCAACTGCTCTCAAGTGGCCGGGATCCGCCGCGGGGGATCCACGATCGATGGCGTCCAGGCGAGCATGTGCTGTTCGGACGCTTGCGAGCAGGCGCTGTGCGAGTCGTGGAGCGCGCTCGGTGAGCCCCTCCAGCCAGGGGGGAGAGCGCAGCACGCCCCACCGTGCCGCGAGAGCTTCTGATCGGCAGCGCCGGCGGTCGGAGCGCGTGTGTCGGTATCCGGCGGGTCGCGCCGGGCGCGGAGCGCGGGGGCAGCGACGCGAGAACACTGAGCAGACCATCTTGGGCGTGCCGGGGCCAAGGTGCGTGCGGCAGGTTCACGTCGCGATGACGTCGGGGCTGGCTTCTAGCACGTGGATCGCTCCATCTTGAAGGGTCGCGGCTTTCAGATAGCGCAGATCGTTCGAGATCGGCCGGCTCCTGGCAGCTGGCGGCGCTCGGCCTTGAACGCTCGCGCTGGGGTCGCCGCCGCGTCACCGCGGTGTGAAACTGCGGTGCGGTTAAGTCGGGCCTGTCCCCCTACAGGGGGATTTTGGGCGAAAAATGAAAAATAGTCAAAAAGTACCCTAAAATATTCAAAAATGGTGAAAATATCGTCCCCAGACTAGTTTGTGACTATGTTTGATTATTCCTCCTGTAGAGGGACATGCCCGACTTGACGGTACGGATGCAGAGCCCGTGGGCGGCAGCAGCGGGCCAGCGAGGCTGGCCGGCGAAGGCGAAGCAGAAAGACAAGAGTGCAAGGCGCGCCTGGCAGGGCCCATGTGCCAGGGGCCTGGGCATGTGAGCCAGCATCAACACGAAGGGGATGCCTGATGGTCCTGGATTTTGATGCTGGCGGTAATCGCTCGGCCACCTGAGGCATCCGCATACTGCCACCATCACCGAGATCAGGACCCTCTTCCCTCGGTGGACGGCCGATACTGACGTCCGTGCCGAACTCTAGTGAGCGTTTTCTTATTCGGCGTTTCGACACTGGGCGGAGGTGGGGGGGGAAGGGGGGGGGGTCTGGGCTCCAGACCTCTGATTGATGCGACTGTTGGCAAAAATACGTAGACTCCACCTGCTCGCAACAGGCACCCAAAACAGCCAAGATGTACTCCACGGGGACCGCGCCGATCGGCAAAACAAGAAACAAGACATCGATCACCTGGGCCTCCGGCATCATCCCTGTTTGGGGCCGCTCTACGGCTGCTGCTGCAGCTGCCCTGGCAAGGTGGTCCCGGCTGGCCTCCCCAGGCCCACAAGGAGCAGCCTGGGGCGGTCAGAGCACCCACGCGCCGCCTCAGGCGACGCGGGCAGAGCAAGGCACGGTGAACACGCGGCAGTCCCACACCGTGGCTGCGGCACGCTGAGACGTGTCAGGGTGGCTGTCAGCTGCCTGGTAGCAGTAGACCCACCAGCCCTTCAGTAGGGCGTAGGCGGTTTAGCAAATTGGTTTGTCCGACCTCCTACCCCTTCGGAAAGAGAGAGAGAGAGAGGTTACCTCTCCCCCTATCCCCCCCTCTCTGGGCCTGGGATGCGAAAAACACATTAATAACACCATACTGCCTACCGCATATGTTGCTTCCCAACATTCCCGTTCAAGATGGCCTCATGAGGCCTCGGAGATCCACAAGAGGGCTCTAGAAAGACCGAATAACCCACCCAAACGGATCGAGACGGCCCCGCACAACGCCTCAAAACCGCCCGATATAAACCTCCAATGTGGCCCAAACCCGCCCCAAGGCGGCCCTGAGCTAGCCCCGAGATCCGTCCAGCCCGCCCCGAGATGTGCCCGCCGAGCCTCTGCAGAAAACATCGGTAGACTTCTTGCGCCCAACAATGCTCCAAGATTCCCAATATGCCCCCGAAGGTCCTCCCCAAAAAACAAAACGTCCCTGGGGAAGCCAGCAAGGGCCCAAATGGGCACAAAAGAAGCCCCTCAAAACTGGGGGACGACGAGGAGGGGAAGTGGGCTGAGGAGGGAGGATGGCGATGTAAGGAAGGAAGACAAGGGGGGGAGGACACGGAAAAAAAACGAAGGGGAAGCTGACTGCGACGACGAGGGAGGAGAGACGACAAGAAGAAGAGGACAAGGACCAGGAACACTTCCCAACCCTCCTTGGAAAACCTCCGAACCTCCCTGCGCGAATCGTCGAAGATGTCCCTCTCATAGTTCACGGGGGCGGAGGCTGTCGGGGATGCGGGACGAGGACAAGGGGGAGGAGGATGAGGAGGAGGAACTGGGAGGATGAGGATGAGGAGGAGGCTGCGGAGGATGGCGGAGGGACGAGGCGGAGGAGAAGGAAAAGAGATGGAGGAGGAGGAGGACGGAGAAGAGTTCCCCCTGCAAGCAACAAGCGTGAAACTGTGCTGCGATCGGAGGCCTTAAAGGGTGCCCTGTCGTGGCGAAACCAGCATCCTAAAGGATGCATGTTCTGACTGGCGCAATCTAGGTTTACTGCAACACGTGCCTTTCTGGTGAATGCCATCACTGAACTGGGGCCAAGCTCAAACCCCACGACGGCGACGAGGGTAGGAAGGAGAGAAAGAAGAGGAGGGTAATCAATAGAACGAGGTACGAGGATCGGGAGACTGACCGTGGAAACAAATTATCGCCCCCGCCCCCTGTTAAACCTCGAGCCCAAGCCTCTTCACATAATTCCTGAAGGGGGGGGGGGGGGGAACCGCCGAGCGATATCGCTAGCACCCCAAACAATGCATAAGTCCTCGGAGGGGGGCGGTGGGAGTGACGAGTCCCCAGGAGACCTCAACAATCGTCACGAATCCCCAAGAGTCCTCAACAATCATCAGGAATGCGACCAGGACTCCAACGCCGGACTCCTATGTCCCCTGGTGGAGTCCTACTGGGATGTGGGACCTCTTTTGACCCTTGTGAGACTCCGATAGGAAGCCACTCGGATACTTATAAGACATTGGGTTCATGCTGCAATCCTCCCAAGCTCCCATTGGAATCCGATTGGGGTCTTCTGTGGGTCCCGAACGCCAGTCTTGATGAAATCTTGGTAGGAACCCTGTAGTAGGAGGGAGCCACACAAGCAGGGCATAGAGAACCAAAACGTGAACAAAAGGCTCATGTCCTGCTCGTCCACCTTGGACTGAGATAAAACCTCTTGCAAGAACACGATGGTGAAGAAGCAATCGTTCAGCTCGGAGAAGTACACCTTCACCGTGTCAAGGATCAAAAGCCAGTCCTGACCCAGCGGCGCCAGTGAGACCAGAAAAACACATGTGCTTCGAATCCAAAATGTTGAAGAATCAGCAAGTTCGCGCACTTCGTGTGATCGTCGGCGTCGCCGGGCCTGTGTCCGAGCCGAACGCGCGCCGGCCTCCCCCAAGGGGAAGCCGGGGGGGAGCTCCCCAAGCCCGAAAACCGGATCTGAGCTCACCCCACCACGGCCGACCAGCTCCACCTGCACTCAGGCCGCACGCTGGCGCCCCCGGAAGCTGTCCCAGAGGTCTGCCTCCGGCTTGCCCTGGAAAGAGCGTTTTACCTCAGCTTCACCTCGAAGGCCGGGTCTGCTGTCAACCGAGAGGCATACACAAGTGCGTCTTTGATGGGCTGTGGCATCAGCAACTGATTCATGGTCAAGGTCCAAAGCCATGTGCGGCCCGACGCTGGATTGGGAACTTTCGCCACGAAGCCCGTGAAGAAGTTGTCAAGCTCTTCCGCACCCATCTTCGGGAGGGTCTCCAGCGCCTTGCCGCCCTCCCTCTTGAGGTCCGTGTTCGCCTGAATCGTCTCTTTGGCGTTCGTAGCAATCTCCATGAGCCTGCTGAAGAGAGCGAATAACATGAATACTTTCTTGGGGCCATACGGGTGTTTGTTCGAGGAGGCCTCTGTGCCGTCGTCGGCCTTCATGGCCTCTTCACCGTCGTCGGCCTTCCGCTTCTTACGATCGCTCTTGCCCTTCCCCTTCCTTGAACCTTCAGGGCGCCGGCCCGTGGGAACTCTCGACCTCTGTATCACTTTTGAACAGCACTGCTATCTGGACCGAATCCGCAACCGGCCGAAAGTCCTGGCGCAGGTACAGTACAAGTGGTCGCGGATCAGGGTGTTGAGCACTTCTGTGTCGTTCCTGGCAGCAGCCGGCCTCGGCCTGGCCTGCGCCTCCGGCGCCAGGGCCGTGCTCGTGGCCTGTCCCAATGCCGCCCGGAGAGCTGCTTGGCCCATGGCCATACAACAGGGGTAGTCAAGCGAAAGCTGCCGACGCCGGGCGTTTGGCAGCGGCTGTGCCACGATGCTGATGCTCAACAATTTGGGCCTGATTAAGATCACATTCGTGATAATGATTAAGATCAATTGCCAAACCATGAACTTCTCGACGAACCTTACAACCTCTGGCATGACGTGCTGACCCCCTTGCCGTCGTAAATCTGGTCCCGCAGTGCGACGCGGATGTGGCGCACCTTCAACCTCATTACAATACCTCGTTCTGGCCAGCCACATCTGATACGGCATGTGCATGCGCGTCTTCATGTGGATTGAACAAACGCGTGTTTCAGGAAACACCACCTTGCACCAGAGACATTTTTCAAGTCGATCGCCTGGTTGACGGGGACGAGCAGGAAGATGAATGAGGCCCGTGGGTTTCTTCTGACAGACGGCCTTGCACGTATCCCCTCCCTTTTCCCTGCGAAACTGAATCCGAGAAGGCTGTCCTGCAGCCGGAAGAACGAGAAATGCACCAGGCAAGCGTCCCAGGAACTTCCGACTGCTACTCTTCCCTCGCATGCGCAACCCTCTGGTCTGCTCTGTGATTCCTTCCCAACATGTTTCAACGTGAGTGGAACCATGTTGCACACTCTTTCCTTTTTCTTGGTCGCGCGCGTCGTCCCGTCCTCCGTGTCCCCCCAGCCCTCC